TTTTTCTTTTTTTTTTCGTATTAACGATTTTAAAAACCCGTAAAATCGAAATTACCGCCATTGAAAATTTTTTTTTTTTTTTTATCGTCTGCTTTTCTTTTCGTTGTCGTTTTTTTTTTTTTCTTTTAAACGATTTTTATCTTCATATGTTTGTATTTTATGGGTCAAAGTCTATTTATTTATATTTACAAAAATCTAAGTAATAATAATTACCCTCGACTCGACAATAAAAATTACCTTAGGATTTTTTTTTTTTCAGGTTCTTTTAAGGCGTTCTTTTTTTTTTAGCAATTTGTACCTTCGTCTAAAAAAAAACATTAATGAGTCCCAAAATGTTCGACATGAGGTCACATATGATAAATTTCATTTGCTATTATTATTACCTCGTTAAAAAAAAAAAAAAAAAAAAAAAATTCGTTACTTTTATTTTGCCTCAATTTTTTTTTTTTCACACCTGTAGGTAGGATCAATTACAAAATGGCGACGGTAAAATTTAAAAAAAATTATTATTATGATTATCGGTAAAATCTGGAATTTTTCTGAAGAAATAAATAATAAAGGAGCGGATTTTGGAGATTAATAATATTAAAAAAAAAATTACTCAAATTTTTATTACGTAATAACAAATTTTGTGTGTTTGCGTGCCCATAAAAAATTTTTTTTAAATTCTTATCAGCGTAAAAAAAAAAAGTTATCAACTCCTTTTTGATAATATAAATCATAATATTAATATCATTTCCCGTTAATATTAAAATTAATAATAATAATAATATTCGTACACGTAAATTAATTACGCGGGCATACAAAAAAAATTTTTATTTTTATTTTTATCCGTTTATTAATTTTTAATAAAATAAATTATTTAATTAAAAAAAAAACGTTTTTTTTTCTTCTTCTGGAATGTTTTTCTCATGATATTCTGTCAAAAATTTTTATTACCATTTAAAAAAAAGAAAAAAAATTACGTAATAAAATTTTTTTTTTTTAGTTATTTCGAAATTTTTTTTTTTCCTTCCAAGTCTTTAACACAATCTTTGTTATATTTATTTTTTGTGGGCGAATTTTAAATCCATGTAAGGTTAATACGTAATAAAACGGTTAAAATTTTTTTTTTTTTTTTTTGGTATTTTATTCCATATATGGAAACCGAGTAATTTTCTCTCTCTCTCTCTTTTGTCGCAATAATGATAATAATTAGTATGAAATAATAATAATAATAATTTTTATTGTTTTGTTTATATTATTATCGTATCGCATGTAAAAAAAAAATCGATTTTTTTTTTTACCATTTAATAATTATTTATTTTATTAATTAATTAAAATTTATGTTAATAATAATAATAATAATGCGTATTGTGTTGTCGTTTTTTTGTTTTCCCATACCTATAAAAATTATTATTATTATTAAAAAATATTTATTAGTTATCTTACGGATTAAATTTTCATGTTTGTGCTTGTTTGTTCTCGTGTTTTTGTGTCTTTTAGTTTACTATATATATATATTTTGAAGTAGATTTTTAACGGAATTTTTCCTGCTTTTCCCCTTCCCCCTATTCCCTACTTCTTACCCTACCCCCAAAAAAAAAAATAGGAGGAAAATGTTAAAAAAAAAAATAAATTTATAAAAACCGCAAAATTTTTTTATTTATTTTCTAAAAAGGTTAGTCGTTGTTTGTTTGTTTGTTCGTTAAAAAAGGTTCTCGATTTGTTTTACCTTGAAAAAAAGGAGGAAAATTTGATTTAATTACTTTTGACACTAGAATAATAGTAATAATAATAATTGTGGAATAAAATAAATGCCACAAATTTCTAAATAATTCAATCGACTGTGAAAAATTTGTCAATTTTTTTTTTACTGTATCAGTTTATGGAAGGTAATAAATAAACCACATTTAAAATAATTATTACGTAATATTTTGTGTTTTTATTTTCGGTTTTTCTTTTTCTTTTCTGTTCTTTTTTTTCGGCGGTTATTACGGTTTTAACAGGGTTTTGTTTTTGAACAACCTTGAAAACGTTCAAGCCTTTTCCGAAAGATTTTTAAAAAGTAAAAAATTTTTTTAAATATAAATTTATTACTTACCCCCCGCTCCTTCCCCATCCTGCGTGCCTTCCCCTCGCTCACCCTACCCATTATCCATATTTTTTACGTTTCGCCTGCTATTATTTACTTCACGTTTTCTACAATATGAAAAAAAACAATAACACAAAAATTAAAAAATTTTTTTTTTTTTAATCCCATTTTTCGTTTGTTTTGTTACCAGATTTTTAATACGAATGCAAACGAGGATATATTACGACTGTTGTTGGCGTTGTTTTCGGCGTTGTTGCCACATTTAAATTGATGCAACGGCCATTTTGACAAAAAATTATTAAAAATAAGGAAAAAAAATTTATTTACATCAGATTTTCCTGTTTGTTTCTTTTTTCGACGTAATAATAATTTAAACGGTTCTAATCGTTGAGATTTTTATTTAAAAAAAAGCAGAAGACAGTAAAAAAAATAAAAACAAGTGAAAGTTTTTCCATCGGCAGAAAAATAATTCGATCAATGATGAATCAAAGAAATAAAAA